AATTAATGATTAAGTTAAGTAAGCCACTTAAGTCAGTTACTAGGGACAGTTATGCAGGTTATAGACATAACTGAGCTGTCTGCGTCATTGGCCAAACGTGTCTGATAAATGCAAATTTTAAAAATGAAGAGATTAGGTTGTATGCTTGACATTTTACATTGTAAATGTTAGGTACCTGAAGATTGCAGCCAAAAAGGCAAACTTACCATTTTCTGTAATTTGACCCCAGCCAGCCACATAACAGGGATCGTCATAGTTATCTTTGGAATCTCCCAAGTAGGGATATCGCCCTACGCCGAGGACTCGGACTGGTCTGTCCAGCCGCACCAGTGCAATGTCATAGCCTTTTATGGCATTGTTGTATTTAGGGTGGATGACACTTTTGACGATCTTGAACTTTTTTTCTGCTGTAACATCTTCGGTCAGGCGGTGCACACCCAGCAGAACAGAGTATCGTGATCTTTTCCTGAAAAGCAGAGGGGCATCATTAACCTCTGTGACTCCCTTTACCAGTACTGACTCGCACTGTCAAATACTCTATAACCTGTATTATGACATGTGGATATACATACAAATGTATGCTACTGTGCATAAGCACTGCCCCGCCTGTTATACCTACGTGTTAATGCAGTGCGCAGCTGTCAGCACCCATGTGTCAGCCACTAGGGTCCCACCGCAGTAAATCCTTGTTGGATAGTCATTCATCACTAGGGCAGCAATCCACCACCAGACGCTGTCCTCAGCATCTTCCACTCCAACAATGGAGGAGCGGCTCTGGGGGTGACTGAACACTATGAGAGAGAGAGAGAGAGAGAGAGAGAGAGCAGAGCAACAAGCAGACAAAATGAACAAGAAAAGACTTAAAGAGGGAGGAATGGTCAGATGAACTTGCTCACATTAAATACTCACTAAATGAGAGTGAGTATTTAGTGACCATACTCACTAAATGAGAACGGGATAGAAAGCGGACGACTGCCCTCTTACCTATGGTAGCATCCAGCAGCAGGATCGCAGACAGTAACAGCAAACCTGCCATGTTCACCCTCTCACTCAGTCTCTAAACACAGGTGACTCTGCCTTACAAACAGTGTGAAAGAGGGAGTATTAGTCACAATCTCACCGACTGTCATCCAAGTCCTTGGCCAGAAGCAGGACATGAGCCTTCTTATATACCCATAGAGACACACCCAGCACCATGTTGCATGAGGAGATATCACACTGTGGTTTGTTTGAGATCCGGATATTTAATTAGTGTCTGACACCTCAGAATTTCCATAATTCATTTATGTATATCATACCAGATGAAGAACATACACATTTATTGTTTTCTACCTACGGAGCCCCTAAAGGGACATAGGTCTGCCAGCTTGATCTTTTTACTATTTTAGTTTTTACTATAATCGGTCTTCTCTGTTTTAACTGCTTTCTTATTGTGCAGTGCAATGAATATGAGAGATGCATGTTACAAAACGATACATTATTATTATTATTATTATTATTATTATTATTGCCCTCTGCAGTAGATAGTATTTACAAGGTGCTATCTAAATATGTCAAACAATTTATTTTACAATTTCCATATGAAATATAACATGTGTCACATTGACATCTTCATTAGTGTATTAACACTCTTAATTAGATTTCATCCTGATATTTCTTGGCTAATGCATAAAAGCTGTTGCATAATGCTAGAATTTCATGGGCTCGTTTCGACAGAGTGGTTTTTGTTGTTTCCTATTTCACAACCAAAGATAAACGCAAAAAACACTTTATGAAAAATTACTTAATTTTTTTTTTATAAATTCATAATGTAATGGACCATATAACTAAGATTAAGGGGCACCCAATTGAGCCCAGTGGGAAATTCTGGTGCATACAGCACCAAGAACAAAGTGCACAGCTGGCCTGCATATGGAGCCAAAGAGACAAGGTGCATAGACAGCACACATAGTGCAAACAGATTTAACGAGTACAACATACACAAATAAAATATAATGAAATAAAACAGAATATTGTGATACTATCCATTTCGTATACCAGTTTATCCTATTCAGGGTCATAGGGGGTCCAGAGCCTATGGGTACAAGGCAGTGAACAACCTAGGATGGGGCACCAACCCATTGCAGGGTACACAAGTATTCCACGGATCTGCTGGATAAGCAGGCCCTTCTCCTGCTTGAGGTGCAGGCCATACTGTTCTAGGCTGCCCAATCCTGCATCCAGAGTTTTGAGTTGTGTCTGCTCGTCAGGACCAGTCACGAGGATGTCATCAAGATAACAGTGAGTATACGACAGTTCGAGAAGCACTTGGTCCATAGCCTTCTGAAATAAGGTGGGTGGTGACGCTATACCAAAAGGTATAAGCGATTAAAAGAGAATAGTCCTTTTTGTGTAGAGATAGTCAGCACTTTCCTGGACTCCTCTTCTACCTCCATCTGTAGATAGGCATTTGATAAGTTCAACTAACTGAAATGTTGACCTTCTGCTAGAGAGGCAAAAAGGTCCTCAATGCGTGGAACTGGGTATTTTTCCACACAGAGAGCTGGGTTGAGGGTGACCTTGAAACCCCCACAGAGTCTCACTCTGCCATCCTTTTTATTGACGGGTACCACTGGTGTGGCCCAGTCACTATGCTCCACTGGTGAGATCACGCTAAGCTCAGTCAGGCGTTTCAGCTCGGCCTCCGCTCGTGGTCGAAGAGCATAAGGCACGTTGCGTGGTGGACAGAATTTGGGTACACTGTTGGGTCTAAGATTCAGTTTGGCTTTAATCCCTTTCATTGTGCCTAACGTTTTAGATTCAAGATTCAAGAGGTTTATTTGTCACGTACACAGTTGTACACATACAACATGTAGTGGAATGTAACCCTGGTCACTCCGAGCAGCTGTGCATGATAACTATAGAGAAAAAATAAGGAAAAATAATAATATAACATAAACAATATAAATATGAACTGTTCAGCTGTACATAATCTATACATAAGCGATAGGTAAGAGGTATTTTGCTGTGCAAAATTAAGGCAATGTGCAAGAGGCCTGAGGTATGTGCCAACGATTTGGACAGTGTGAAGCAGCACCTAGAGGCATTGAGTATTGTCCTGGTTTAGGAGCCTTATGACCTGGGGGGAAAAGCTCCTCCTTAACCTTTCCGTTCTGATCATAAGGCTGCAGAAGCGTTTGCCTGAGTTCAGCAGGCAAAACAGAGAGTTATTAGGGTGGGATGGATCCTTGGAGATTTTTATTGCTCTGGTCCTAAAGCGGCTGTTGAAGATGTTTTGTAGGGAGGGCAAGGCAGATCTGGTGCAGTGCTCAGCTNATTGAAGCAACTGCCATGTGATTGGTTGATTAGATAATTGCATTAATGAGAAATTGAACAGGTGTTCCTAATAATCCTTTAGGTGAGTGTATATATATGCACGTACAGTATGTGTGTGTGTAAAGTTTGCATATTTTTGCTACAGGTTATGATATTTTTTTAAGCTAGTATTCAATATATAAAGCTTGAATGCAACTTATGATACACAAGTATGTCGTTGTATACAAATGCGTATATTACCCAGGCTACAGTGAACAACGGCCCCAAACAAAACAACACAAATGTAGTTGTAACGTGTTTTTTGTTCACCTCATCAGGTATGAAGTGTGTCCCATTGTTTTTGAGAGATACATGAGTACTTCAGCTTCATTATATACTTTGCATCTTATGTTAACATATGTCCCATTACATACATACCGAAGTGTGTAATATCTCAGTGTGCTTGCACTGTGGGGTAAATGGGGAAATGCCTGGATGTAGACTTCCGCGTGGTCCTAAACTATGCTTTCTAGAGTTTTTATTTCCATCTATATATATTTTTTTGAAATATGTAAGTAGAATTATACAAATATGTATATGGGGAATAAGAGTGGTATGGTTTAGTTGAAAGAATAATTTACTTAAGAGTTAATTTAATTGGATAAATCTGGCAATTAACATATTCATTTGTATAGTGCGTTTAGGAAACAAGAACAAAATAAGCATTGCTTATTCAATCAGTTATCTATCGCCATCTAGTGGGCGAATGCATTCACATTTGTTGACAATTACCAATAACCAATTACCAGCACAATTACCAATGTTTGTTGAAATCTCAGTATACTTCTTGATGAAAGGCCTAAAAAGTGTGTGTTTGGGGGAATGAGCCACAGAATAGATGACAGAGGATTGTTAGACCACAGTGAATTTTAGGATGAGATAAAACTGGATTGGAACTGAAATTGTCAATGTGAATTACAGGCAACCCCAGGGATCAGCTTACAGGAGTAGAGACCCAGACTCTGCATCAAGGCTTCCAAGTGAAATCAAGTCTTATTACTTGCTATACTCATATTTATTCATTATGCGTACAAGGACAGCGTTACGTAAAATCAAAGTAAACAAAGTAACACAAAGTAACAGGGAAACAGCAGGGGGAGCAAAGACAGGTGGAGAGCGTGAGATATGATGACAACTGGAAGAACTGCAGTGCAGTTAACTTTCTAGGCCTTTCTAGACTTCCTGATTCCCTTCCTAAAGCCTTTTATGTTATTGCTGATGAAATCCCTGTAGCTGGAGACACGGGTGTAGACCCCCGGGAATGCCGCTCGGCCACACCCTATTCCGTAGCTGACGATTCCAGCCAACTTCCAGATTTCCTTACTTCCATCTTTAGAGATGCACATGAGAGGACCTCCTGAGTCTCCCTGTGTGCAGATGTTTGGAGAAACAGACAAGAAGATCAAAGGGCCATTTCTGTCGACACTTTTATTCCTTTGAAACATTGTTACTGGCTGTTTTTACTGAGCTCTGAGATGGTTCTCCATCAGCATTCATGCTGTCTACATGAAACAGATACATCTCAAAATACTGAAAGTGTATAATTATTAAAAGTTTGACTTATAACTTTAATGTATGTTATTACATAATGTGTGTAATGTAGGTCTGTCTTTTGAATGCAATAATTTCACTACAACTAATAGATCAACAAGCAGACTTACCTGGCAGGAATCTTTGCCGGATTTGCCAGCGCAAATCATCTCAGGTTTGAGGTCTGGGTAGCTTTTCTTGCAGGAATCGTTGGGAACAATTGGGACAGTAACTTCCTGCAGGGTCCTTGGTACTGGCAAAGGATCTGCGGAAATAGATAGAGCGGGGATGCAGAATTAATGATTAAGTTAAGTAAGCCACTTAAGTCAGTTACTAGGGACAGTTATGCAGGTTATAGACATAACTGATCTGTCTGCGTCATTGGCCAAACGTGTCTGATAAATGCAAATTTTAAAAATGAAGAGATTCAGTTGTATGCTAGACATTTTACATTGTAAATGTTAGGTACCTGAAGATTGCAGCCAAAAAGGCAAACTTACCGTTTTCTGTAATTTGACCCCAGCCAGCCACACAGCAGGGACCTTCATAGTTATCTTTGGAATCTCCCAAGTAGGGATATGGCCCTACGCCGGGGACTCGGACTGGTCTGTCCAGCCGCACCAGTGCAATGTCAAAGCTGAGGTCTTCATCGTTGTATTTATGGTGGATGACACTTTTGACGATGTTGAACTTTTTTTCTGCTGTAACATCTTCGGTCAGGCGGTGCACACCCAGCAGAACAGAGTATTGTGATATTCTCCTGAAAAGCAGAGGGGCATCATTAACCTCTGTGACTCCCTTTACCAGTACTGACTCGCACTGTCAAATACTCTTTAACCTGTATTATGACATGTGGATACACATACAAATGTATGCTACTGTGCATAAGCACTGCCCCGCCTGTTGTACCTACGTGTCAATGCAGTGCGCAGCTGTCAGCACCCATGTGTCAGCCACTAGGGTCCCACCGCAGTAAATCGTTGTTGGATCATCATTCCGCACTATGGCAGCAATCCACCACCAGACGCTCTCCTTAGCATCTTCCCCTCCAACAATGGAGGAACGGCTCTGGGGGTGACTGAACACTATGAGAGAGAGAGAGAGCAGAGCAACAAGCAGATGAAATGAACAAGAAAAGTTACACTTACAGAGGGAGGAATGGTCAAATGAACTTGCTCACATTAAATACTCACTAAATGAGAGTGAGTATTTAGTGACCATACTCACTAAATATGAGCGGGATGGAAAGCGGACAACTGCCCTCTTACCTACGGTAGCATCCAGCAGCAGGATCGCAGACAGTAACAGCAAACCTGCCATGTTCACCCTCTCACTCAGTCTCTAAACACAGGTGACTCTGCCTTACAAACAGTGTGAGAGAGGGAGTATTAGTCACAATCTCACCGACTGTCATCCAAGTCCTTGGCCAGAAGCAGGA